GGGGGAGGGAATGAATTTCTAGCCCACTATTGCTAAATAATTTGACACAACTCTTATTTTAAAGAACTGACCTGATATCCTGTGAAGTAAAAGTAATAAATAAGGGCCTGATTTAGAAATACTTTTGACATCTTGAGTAAGCAACTTATTATGCAAGCATGTATTGTAAGGTAACGTCATGTGTATGGCATCTGCTGTTGGTTTGTACTGCAATAGCGGCTAGCAGCCCCAGTTTTGGACCAGAACTCTCTGGTGGTAGGTGCTGGACAAACACAGAACAAAAAGACAGTCCCCCAAGGAGCTAACAGTCCATTTTTAATGAATTAAATGTGCCTGATCCATTAATGGGAGAAAACAGCAACTAACTCCGCAGTACTCTCAATCTGGGAATAGAAATGTTTAGACACTTAATATCCTACCTAAAGCTGTGAAATCGAATACAGTGAAAAACAGATTAAAATGACTACGGCAATGAAAGGAACATGTAAGATAATGGCGAATGTGAAAAGGAAATTCAAGTGATCTCTAATGCTAGCAGAGGAACCTTTGCTCTGTATTAACATCTCCTCCCTCATTTGTTCTTTCTAGGTCTCATAACCCTGGAGGAACTTCATCAGCAAGTGCTAAAGGGCAGAGGGAAGTTTGCCCAGGATGTCAGCCAGTGAGTATCTGCTTGAACTGTGTTATAATCAAAGGGAGCCTGAAAACAGCATGAATAAAAAGTGATAGTTAATATAAGCAGGCACCTGATGGTTCTGCTCCTGCTAATAGGACCCCAGATAGCTCCATAATTATAAGTCTCTCAGTAGTGAGTCCATAATTAAGGTTGCAAGCAATGCCCGATTATAACTGATATGCCTGCTGGAGGAGCCCAGCACAGTTCCTGCCCCCTTCCCTCCTCTCAAGATTACATTATACAAAATATTCTTAGGATAGCTTAGATACTCAGTTAATAAGAATCCATATTTGTGGATAACAGTTGCAAATCATACATAAGACAAATTACCCTGAAGTCCTACAAGTGAAACATTAGCTCAGTCTGTATTGCAATGTAAACCGTCTGTACTTGCATCGAGAACTGACAGACTTAAAAAAACCCAAACTTATTTTTGACTTTACATTGCATGACATAAGCTTTCGTGGATTACAGCCCACTTCTTCGGATGCATATAGAGTACTCCTGTTCTTTATACTAAGTACAGATTACTTAAGAGGACTGCTAAGATAGGGAAATCTGTATTTAGTATAAAGAACAGGAGTACTCTATATGCATCCGAAGAAGTGGGCTGTAGTCCACGAAAGCTTATGCTCTAATAAATTTGTTAGTCTCTAAGGTGCCCCAAGTACTCCTGTTTTTTGAGGAGTACTTGTGGCACCTTACAGACTAACACAGCTGCTACTCTGAAACCTGTATTTAGTATGTTAAGTGTACCGTCTTATGAAAATTAGATTCATACTTTTGCCACAGATTCACTTGAACAGTGAAAATAGACTGAGTTTCACTTTCTTCTCCTGCATTAGCAAGGTGTTACTGTGTACCAGTCCCCAACCTGCTAGAGAGTATTACTTGAACAAATAACCTAGTTTCTATTGAACTTCCATTATTTCTGCTTGGAGACCTTTCTGTTGATAGGGTTTGCAAAAGGTTGTCTTACAGGATCTGAATTTTGGGCCTGACGTTGTCTTTTGAATCTTTTATTTGGGCAATTTATATAAGTCTTGTGAACTCAAACTCTGAGTGTTCTAGACAGTTGTGGAATGAGTTCACTCAAACAGTTTTAGTGACCCTCTCGTGATCCTGTTGGAATCAGAGCACACCTTAAGATTGCTTGCTTTCCTTCCATTTTTCAGTTGCTGTTGCCTCTTGGTAAGTATGAATGAAAAATTAAACAAACAGCTGACTTTTCAGAGATGCTTAGCATGAGAAGAAATTACTGTAGCCACTTAACATGCAGGGTTGGCCTCTGCATTTCAGACCTTAACTTTGCCACTTGTACAGCTGTTGTCCCTTATTTACTACATCACTTAGTGCCCGGTTCAACTGAAGAGCAAAAGCTTTTCTTTTAAAGTCTTATATTCACTCCCACCGCCTCTTCAGGGACGATCTCCTCCGAGCTATCAAGAAGCTGAAAGTTCTGGGCAGTGGCTTTGGGATTATTCCTGTCGGAGGGACATATCTGATCCAGTCTGTACCAGCTGAACTGAACATGGATCACACAGTGGTTTTGCAGCTGGCCGAGGTATTGTGGCAAGAGATTCTTTAGTATAAGCTACCCGTAAGGGGCCATAGGGTACCCTTGAGACACTAGGGCAGGCTCCGTGGATAAGGAATAGATGGTATGAAGAGTGTAAATTCGAATGTGAGCAAGAACCTAAGGTCTCAGCTTGTAAAGATATGAACATGTAGGCAAGTAGACTTTCCAAAACATGAACTCTGATATTAAGTCCTGCTCATTAGCAGCTAGTAAAGAGCTTTAACTGTGCCCTGAAATCATTGTCCTGCAAAACACATTTTTCTTCCCTTATTTCAGAAAAAGGGGTATGTAACTGTCAGCGAGATCAAGTCCAGTTTAAAGTGGGAGATGGAACGTGCCAAGCACGTGCTGGTATGTATGTAGACCTGGTGTGGTTGGATTAAATGCCATTGTAGTAGGATTATGGTTACATTTACACTATCAGATCCACCATAATGGTAGGAAACAGTAAAAACAGTTTAATCCCATCTAGTCTGCAAGACCGAACCAGGGAGAAAGTAAATGGGTTCTTCACCCTGTAGGACTTAGTGTAGCCAGGATGTGAGGTAGAATCCTCTTAATGGCAGGTCCATACCTTTTATTGGTGCTGCTGTGAAGTCTGTACACACTTCACTCCTGCCACCCTCATTTCTTGCCTTGGGATTGGGGCTGCACCTTCGTTAGTTCTGTAAAATTTACTCACCAGCTCTGGCTTTGCTTCCATGGTTGTAGAAGACACGTTGAACATAAAATCTTCACTTACTGCATTGGGTGGGGACAGATGGAGAATGGAGGTAGCCGTAGTGAAGCGATTCTGCAGTCAGGATAGCCACTTGCCCTTTAAATATTTGTAGCGGGTGAGAACACTTCCAGTCGCGGAGGTGGTGATATCACAGTTGTCTGAACTACAAGCAGCTGGACTGCGTGGGGCAAAGGAAGCCCAGTCTAGTGCTAACTTGAGTCACGGGACTCTTCCTTCTCCTGCCTCTAGAAGAGGTTCTTGCACACTTGTGTGCGCCCTTTTTTGCAGATCCTTGTTTTCTCCGTTCAGCTTCTGAGAGCTTGGTCTGTTTTGACAGGAACACCTGCTGAAGGAAGGCATGGCCTGGCTTGACACACAAGCTCCAGGGGAACCTCAGTACTGGCTGCCTGCTCTCTTTACAGAACTTTACTCTCAGGAAATCACTCCCGAGGAAGCAAAGGAGGCAATACCCTGACTGTTAAGAGGAAAACACTGAGCTGTGTACATATTCTCCCTTTGCTGTTGTATTACTTGAAGTAGGACATTTTAACTTTAAATAAAGTTGTTTAAAAAAGTCCCTAGGTTTATCCATTTAATTGGTCAAAATTATACATTAGATTTCCTTCAACTTGTACCAATCAGCAACCTTTACCATCAGTGTGATCTAAACTAGAACACTGGAGTGATTCTACCTCCTGAAAGGGTAAATTCCACTCGAAGCTTTTATCAGCTGCGGAGACACTGTCCCCACCAGCATCCCCGCTCTGCTGAAGTGTTTTAGGAAGCTACGGTAAGCTCAAGTCACTTCCCCATGAAAAATACAATAGTCTAGATTCTGCCAAAACAAACTTTATTGCACAAAAAAAAATCTTATGTACAATTGTATATAAACAAGGTGTTTTATAGTGACTCTTGTGCATATATTTTCAAATCATTAGGTCTAAAATTCTGTCACTAAACCATGTCTGCCTAGAGCAGTCATTGAGGATTGTCACTTTGAAATGGAAACATTCAGAAACAGCAGGATGGGTAACAGCGCTATAAAACTAATACGTTTACAGCCACATGCTTAGGTGAATAGTGTCCACAGTAAGGCATTGTGTGTGTGTGTGTGGATGGTAATGCCACATGCACCACAAATATTTCTGAACCAGATCTGCCTTATGAAGGCATTAGAGGCCCAGCTCTAACCCATTTTAAAGTGGGGATACTATTGATTTATGGAAACAGTGAAATTTACAATGGGATTAAACAGGCATCACAGTAGCACAGCTCAGGACTTCTCATACTGATATGCCTCCATGAAACCTTATATCAAGGAATATACTGCTGTATTTACTTCCATCTGGGGTGTCCTATGCAAGTTTCCCTTCAGAGAAGATAGGATTCTATTCTAACCCATACCAATGACAGACCCAAGGTGAGATTTTGTTTGAGGGGGGAGAAAAAAAAAAGTTGAGTTGTTAAATGGCACCTTGAATTCAGGAATGTTTCCATCTTTCAACTTCTCAAGGCTACTTAAGTAGCAGGAGGCAGGCTTCTGAAAATTTATAATAGTTGATATTCTACATAAACAATCTGTATTGAAAATAATTCACCAACACATGGGACATTGAAAACAACTGCAATTCGATCTACAAAAAGACAATTTTTTTAGAACAAAGTTACCTGGCCTGGAGCGTCTTTCCATGCCACACTAAATCGGAGAAAGGATTACTGCAAATGAATTATTGGGTGGGGTGGGGAAGGTTGATGCACCATAGTATGTGCTCAACTTTTAATCAATGCTCTTGTAAAACAAGATTAAGCCCTTCATCGGGGGAGCATTTTACCACCCAGTTTGGTGGTAACAAAATAAAATCAATCAAGCCTATTTATCTGCCTGCTTGATCTGGGTATGTTTCATCTCCACACCCCTTACTTTAAATACATCCTTGATGTAATGGCACGTGTAGCCAGACGACACCTGCCCAAGAGGTATGAATTGCTCAAAGTGAGACTCTGCTGTTAGAGCGATCAAAGCTTTAAGAACTAGTTTTACCACTGGCCAAGTTTGGCAAGGGAATGTTCTGCTGTTATTGACATTCACTCCTCCCCTTCTCTGTAGAACTCCATCAGAAGATGGCTTCCTGCTTATAAACGTCCCTTATCCTAGCATTTAATTTGTCCTGGATCAAAATATTAGTAGAAAAAGAAAAATCAAAACACTGACTTCAGGGGCTGAAAGCAAACAGCACTTCCATTTAGAAGAGCCAAAGTAGAACATGTCAACTCCAATCAAGATCATAAAAAAAACCAAACCAAACCTCTGTGTGTGTGTGTGTGTGGGGGGGGGTTGTTTTAAAAGAACGAGTGATTTTCTCTCCAATGTTTCCAGGGTAAAAGCATCTGCTCTTGATTTATAAGCTTTTACGGCTTGCATCCATTTCTCCCCCCTCTTCCACCTAAAGTCCAGCCAGCAAAAGCCACCCAGGGACTGGATGAAGCTTTCAGAAAGAAGCCTAGACTCCACCCTGTTTATCTTTGGTCTGTCTAGAAGAGACATCCGTGGGTAGATGGGCATATGCAGAGCACCTGTGCTCCACCTCTCCCCAGACAGAAGTTAACCCTGGGTAAGCAGCAAGTGGGCCCCTTAGTATTATGGGCTCCACTCAAGTGCTCCCACAGCTCTGGTCCTTGGGAATTCAGCATGGCCAGAGGGAAGGGCACATACTGGCTATTTAAGAACAGAAAAGCTGTAAAACGGACTTGCATTCTACATCTCATTGTTTTAATCCAATAAAGAAAAAAAAAGCCACCCAGTGTAGGTGTTTCCAAAATAACCTGATGCCACATGCTCCAGCTTTCTAGCATAGGAAGTACCTTTTAGAGTAGCCTGTCACAAGCTTGGCTTTGTCTACCATGAAGTCCTCTTGTTTGGTATCCACCAGCGCATTAAAGGAGACAGAAGACCTCTTCCAGCTCTAGCCACTCTGGGATTGGCTTGGTTCTCAAGTCGGTCAGGGGTAATTCTAGAGTTCGAAGACAGAACCATCCCCAGGATTGGGTTTCTCACTTAGCGAGAGACCTCTAAGCCTTGGAGCTCCCTTGAGTGTCCGTCTCTGTCTCCGAGGAGCTGCTGTCAGAGTCTATTTCTACATTCTCCTGCTGGTGTTTCTCTTGCACCTTCAGCCGAATACCTTGCAAACGGATTAATAGGGACTGATAGTCAAAGTGGCCTCGTTTCTCACCAAAAGGATCCTGGGGGGGGGAAACATGCAAGATTTAGAGAGACACTTGTACAGTGCCAAAGTACATCACACTCTACGCGGCATCTATGAAATACACCCACCGCGAGGGCAGGCCACAGCAGCTGAGCAGACAACTGCATGGCAAGAAGAGACATTTTGGCCAAAGACACTGGTTAAACCTCTCTTTGCCAAGCGTGTTAGGGGCTTGTCAGTGTCAATGCAGAACATATGGGACCTTGGCTTTTTTAAACGCTCATCTGAAAAATCCAGGCAAAATAAACTTGAGGGAAACTTAGTTTACCTTCCACAGCCAGATGAAGGGTTGAGTGGACACTAGTTGGATTTGAACCAGAGTTTCAAAGAACTGATGAATTGGTCTCAGGCAGGAGGGAGTGACAGTCTCAGTAGGAAAGACTACGGACTTAGTTACTAACACCTCGCATAGAGGCTTTTTAAAGGAAGGCAAGTATCATTATCCCCATTTTACAGATGGTGTAACTGAGGCACACAAGTGACCAGACTTGCCTACAGTCACTCACAGCAGCAAACAGGCAAGAGAGATTTAGCTCCTACTCGCACACCCTGACAGGACCACATTGGCAGAGCGATTGGGAGGAAGCTTGCACTGCCCATGCTGTACCTGCTCTGGGATCAATAAGACGACGTTAGACTCCAAAACTGAAAAGCCAGCTTCTTCCCCAAACATTATGCTCACGTGGGGAAGCTGACGACGACACTGACCCCAACATTTTGGAATGGCTTCGTTTTCACACCGTTCATTCTTTTATCTACGGTTCATCCAATGAAGTGTCTATGCTACAATTTATGACGGTTGGGGACAGGAACACAGCAATCGCTACCACTGTAAGACCAGCACTGTGTGTGTACAGCGCCTAGCACAATGGGGTTCCTGGGTGCTACAGTGATAAATTGAACCTCTGCTCCTTGCAGCTACAGCAGTTATGACCGTAGAATGTGATCGGCGCCATTCCCGGATAACCCCGCAAGTCATGTGGTTTTTACAATACAGCCTCTAGTCGCTGTACTAAAGATTCCAACTGATGAGAGTCGGACAGTGTTGCCTGGTGGCACTGTTCAGTCCAAACACAAGCGGTCTGCTTTTGTCAAGCATTGTGGGTGCTCTAATTTTATGGATTACGGGGCTGTTTGTTCACAATAAAGGGCATGGGTAGAAATTAGGTTGTAAAATGAACCACCTCCCTCTTTCATCAATGGTGATATCTTTTAATGAGATTAGAAGCTTCTTCTGTTCTATTCATACCGAAATATCTTCGCAATCAGCAGTAAGGAAAAAAAAACAGGGTTCTTTTCTGATGAGTGGTTCAGGAGCAGTGCTAGGAAAAGCTCAGTGGCTTGTACTGGGTCAGCGAAATCAATGGAAATTGAAGGCACTCGGCACCTCAAGGGACCGGGCCTCAGCAAAGCACCTTTGATTCCTCACTTAGGCTACCGCAGATAAAAATTACAAGAGTTACTAGCTGGTTCTCCGGATTGGAGAGCGGGAAGAAACCTCTCCCCCACTTCTCAGGATTGTATTGCATAATTACTAAGTAACATAGCGATGGGGCTCTTAAGAAGAGATTAGCAGCATCGCAGGAGTTTTAGGATTTCCTCTAAAGTACCCAAAATAGCCAGAACCAGCAGAAAAAATACCAGCTAGCTAAACCTTTGATAGGGACATAGGAACTGCCCTACTGGAATCACACCATTGTCCAAGCGGTGGTGGTAATTTCCTATTCTCTTAGCATGAGTCAGAGGATAGACCAGTGGTTCTCAACCTATTTATCATTGTCGGCCACATATGTGGCCCGCATCCAATACTACCTGTATGGCCCTGATCCACATGAAGAGGAAATACAAGCACATTTAAGCTGGTGTATTCTCCCTCCCCCCGCCCCCTTTTCTGGCTTTCAGAGGAAACTTTTAAATGAAGTACAATTGGCACTAACAGAGAGAATTAAGCAGACACTTAGGGTAGGTCTACATTTACCGCCGGACTCGGAGGTAAGCAATCGATCTTCTGGGATCGATTTATCGCGTCTTGTCTAGACGCGATAAATCGATCCCAGATCAATCCCGGAAGTGCTCGCCGTCGGCGAGAGGAGTATGCGGCATTGATAGGGGAGCCTGCCTGCCGCGTCTGGACCCACGGTAAGTTCGAACTAAGGTACTTCGAATTCAGCTACGTTAATAACGTAGCTGAATTTGCGTACCTTAGTTCGAAGTGGGGGGTTAGTATGGACCAGGCCTTAGTACACTGTTTTTCCCCCTAACACAAACAACAATAGGAATTTTCTCATAGCCTTATTTCACGGCAGATGCGAAATCAACGCACATGTCTGGAGAGAATTTAAGAAATTCTACCCTTCAACGAACTCCCATTCTCCTCCCTCCTAAATTAGCCATGTCTAGAGGCAAGCTGATTACCTCCTTCAGCCAAGGTAGCCAGGATAAAAAAGAGCTGTGGCCCCATCTCAGCAAGCAGACATGACTTTACACCACATCGTTGGCATATCACCACTTTCATTTCTTACAACCTAACAGGTCATTAAACTGTGCCCTTCTAATGAAGTCGTAGCATGGAAAGGAGGGTTGCCAGCTGCTTACCTGCATTGTCTGTCCTTGGAGGTGAAGCCTCTCTTTGCACGCACCCTCGTAGAAGTCAAAGTATTCCATGAAAGACTTCTCCATAACACCCCTGGAACGCCACAAAAGAGCACATGGTCAATGCAGGATGAGCGAGCATTTAAGCAATGGACTCATCGCCTCGTGGCCACGTGAGATTCCATTCAGTTAAGCAAACCTGTCATTCATCTAATCCACAACACTCCTTAAAATGCCTTAAACAGTTACGAAGATGATCCAAGCGTTCAAAAAAATATCTGCCCTGGCAACTGAGGTAACCATTCCGCTGCTCAGCGGAACCTCAGCCACATGGGGTTTGCATTAACTTGTGTCACTACCCTGACTGAATCACACCATACAGGAACAAGAGTGTGCAGGAGAGGAGGTCATATAGCAACTGGATGTATAGTGAGACAAAAGCAGGGCAGGGAACAAGTACAGGGGCTGTATAAATATTATATTCGATACACATCAGGAACAATTAGCCATCCACCCGTGCAAGACGGGGACACATCATCCCCCTTTACAATATGGGAACGGGAACGGGAACAGGGGGGTTTAGCGGTGCCCACGGTGACTCAGCTAGGACTGGAACTCAGGAGTTCAGAAACACCCAGAGAAGAGTTCCAACATATGACACTGCCCCTTCAACAGAGATCCAGCCCCTAACAGCGACTCAGCAAGTGAACATGACGCATATAGAAGCGCCCAGTTAAAGCGGACCCTGACTGTTCAGAGCAAGGTGGGGCCACTCCTTATCACCATTACCTACCGTAAAGGCTCAGGACAGGGACACTTTCCTTCCAGCATGTCGCACACAGCTACTCGGATGGTCTCATGCCGAATGCACTCGTTATAGTTCTTACTATCCCCAGGGTGCCTCTCCTGTAAACGTAAATTGCTCCACTGAGTCCAGTGTGGTGCGAAGGGCTATTATCCCTTCCCCTCGGGCCAGAAGGATTTCACACTCCCCAGCGAACTCTCCTCAGATCTGCCTGCTCCAAGTACAGTGATCTAGTTTATGCTGAAAAGCTGGTAAGAGATTCCACGGGATTCGGGTAGCAGAGGAGATGGATCAACTCCGCTAAAGCCAGCACAACAGTCTCTCTCTCCGGGACTGAAGGCCAGGATAACCTGAGCAGTTTGGTTCACGTATGACATAACAATACCTCCCAGGGAAGCCATTTACTTTCAGCAGAGATTGACAGAACTAGAAAAAGCCCCTGTAGATATAGTCAGTTTCCTGTACATTTCCAGTTAATTCCACTCCCTTACTTATAACGTAAATTAAAATGGGATCCGTGGCATTGGCTCTGTGGCATGAGTGCTAACACTTTTTTAACCCATGCTCTGTGTATTTAAGCCAGGTGACCATTAGCACTGACAGGATAGTCCACCATAAAAAGCTCAAAAGGAATTACAAACATTTGAGCTCTTCTGCAAGTCAGGTAGTATCATATCCATTTTAATGTGGGGTAAATTGGGGCTTGGCGCAGTTAACGGATTTACTCAAGGTCACAGCAACTCAGCAGCAAAGAATGAAACAGAAAGTAGGAATCTCCCCGTTCTCGAACTACTAGATAACACTCCCTTTTGCCCAGAAGTATACACTTCAACTATCATCGCTGGTATCTAACACCAAAGACTTGCATAGCCTCGGGATGACTAATTGTCTCTCTGCAAAAGGGAATTCACAGTTGGAGTGGGGGAGCGGGCGGGGGGAGAAAACACAGGAGTCAAGTCATTTCAGAACTGGAGTAAACCGTGCTCAGAATCAGAGCTGTTACCTGCTCAAAGCCAGGTTCGTTGTGATAGGGGTTCTCAGTCATCAGAGACTGTATGGAGATGAGGACTGAAGAGATACTCTGTGCTGGGCTCCAAGCAGGACCAGTCCAAGTGCTGAAACATCATAAACACAGGAACGTATTTAAACCCAAGACCTACAATATGACTCAGTGACCTCCCCTTTCACCATTACCACTCTCCAAGTCAACAAACCCCAGTTTAGGAAATCAGAAAAAGCTAAGCGGGGACTACCCAGAAGGGGAAGTGGACAAGAAAAACAGGGAGCCCAAAAGAACCCCCAATGATCTGCAGTGTTCAGAAGCTTTTATGGGTGAAGTTAGTGTTAGAGTTAGAATACTCAGGCAGACTTTCCCATTGCGGTAGAAGTTGGGGTTAAACCTCACTGTGTTATTCCACATGCGGGGTGCACACCCCTTTATGCAGAGGGACATTGCTAGAAAAAAAAGAAAAGATTCTGCATTGGCCGCCCTTAACCCTTTTGCTATAGATCCTTTCCCCCCCACTGGAATGGCAGCATTTCAAAAGAGGGATGCACCTGGCACATGAGATACTTTCTAAACCCTTTCATTTTTACTGCTCCCTTTGCCTCCACCTCCCCCTGCCTTTCAGTTTGATGCACGTCCCAAGAGCTTGAGGTGGTCAAGTGCCTCTCGCTTCAAACCCACCCCCTCCCTTCACATCAATCATCTTCCTTCCTTAAACCGTTGTTCTGTATTTGCTCTAATTTAGACCCCAACCCTGACAGACAATGAGCATCTCCAGCTTGCTCTGGTGTCACGCCGAGCTGTGCTCAAGATCATGCCCTTACATCGTTAACATGTCCGGGACGGGATGATGCGTTTGCAGGATTGGGACCATCAATACAGGTTCTTTAAGCACAGTAGTCCAATTGAAGCTAATGGGACTGTTCACATGCTTAAAATTAAGCAGCTGCAGAATTGGAGCCTAAGTTTGTAAAACCGCTGTTTGAATAGGCAGTGCTCTAGTGGGGACTTAAAATAATTATACTACTCATGGTTCTGCGCCAAGAACAGGCGGAAGCAGAGAAGCAGTTAAACAGCTTTCCAGGGAGTTCTTAGTGGCTTTTTTTTATTTTTTTAATTTCTATTTTCTTTTTAAAAACCACACACACGGGAAATTAAAACCACAAAAAAAAAAAATCTACATTCAAACAACGATAAGGGTCGGCCTTCAAACCGCAAAAGCAGAAGAAATGCAAAGTTCAGGCCAAAACTCTATGGTGGGACTGGGAGATGAGAGGAGTGCTGTGCTACCTTAGGCACAATGGCGTGAGAGAACAGAATTTCAGGCCTGGCTTTTGTAGGTTCAAAGAAAGTCAGAGTCGTATTTTACTACATTTTGGCAGCTTTAAGGCCTCCATTGTACAAGTGACTTCATGCAGGAACTGTGCAGGCAGATGTCACTGCAGGATTGGGACCTAAATATGCAAAGAGGGAGACACACTGCAGAGATCTGCCTGCAGCAAACTCCTGGCTTCCCCTTGAAACAGCTGAAGTCTCCTCTTACCCTAGAATACTCAGGCAGACTTTCCCATTGCGGTAGAAGTTGGGGTTAAACCTCACTGTGTTATTCCCTGTTGTCATCAGTTTGACCCTTGGTGGGTGGATGGGATAATCTGGAGGACAGCGAAACAGGAACAAGAAGAAACCCCCTTCATAAGGCGTGTCAAATGGGCCTGTGATCAATGCATGAATCTGCAAAACAAAAGCCCATCTTGCGCACCACTTCAAAATTGCGCAGCACGGTGAAATACTCAACAAAACCGAACAAGTGCAAGAAATCCCGACACAGAGCTCACGCACAGGCTTCTCCCACAAGCACGTCATACACGGTCCAGTCTTTCCCCTCCCTGCCAGACTCACTCATACCCTGAGCCACTGCTACACATTTCTTTGCCACACCTGTGCGCGATGCGTGCCTACGTAGCCTTTTTTTTTTTAAACAAAGGGGCCGCGGCAGCCGCACGCCTCACACACTTGCACATACATCCACTCCATGTCTGCACAGCCAAACGCAGAATAAACAGTACTTCATCGGAAGAGCTCGACTTTTCAAAAGTTAAAGGATTTAAAAAACAATTAACAAGAAAAAATAATATTCACCGCCTATTTCCATCCCCAACACTTTATTTTCCAACTTCTGAATTTCCGCCAGCAAGAGGATTTTGCTTGGTTTGAAGATACTGCACTGATTTGTACTTAAACGGATCACTAACTTTCCTCAGCCAGGACCTATGGTTAGGAGCACATTCTCTCCTCACCGTAAAGTTACCTCTGAAAATCCTGATCGCATACAGGTGAAACTACTCCCCCGAGGCTATTAGTTGAGCAAGATTATTTCCTTCCGTGCTTTTTCAAATGTGATCACTTGATCAATTTTAAATGCTTTTAAACTCCTCATAATTTGCAAGAGGATGCCAATACTAAGACGCTTTAGGACATGGTCAATGATATAACGCATAGTTGGAAAACGTGTGTGTATCTTCAGCTTCCAGCATCAAGTCGGGCCAAAGTTATGATTAAAATACTGAGTATATGGAGTATTCTTGTATATAGGAATTCTCTCAAAGAAATATTCCCTTGCAGTATCTTAAAACCCAAAGGCCTCAATTCAGCCAATGGTTAGTGCTGGTGGAACCTGGAAGTGGAAACTTTGTTGGAGAGGTGGGAAAAGCTTGCAGCAACAGGAAAAGAGGCAGCAACTTCTCCTCCACTATGAGCCTCCCAGGAAACCAGTGCAGCCCAAAGAGTGGATGTCACACGGAGGCTGGGAGATGCACCGCATCAAATGCATCCAGTCAGCAGCCATTGTCTGCAAGCTTACTAGGGTATCCTGACTGCAGTGTGACACTTAGCAGAAACTACATGGACAGGCTTCTCCCCAAAACACCTCCACTGGGGCACAGTTATGCAGGCTAGCACAGGGAGTGCAAGTTACATCTCTCTGCATCAGCTTGGGTGTGAATCATGGCCAATAGGGTCACTCATCTGAAGTTTCTGATGCCACCTGACTACCACATTTACCATCCCCAGCTTCCCATATCCAATAGCTCACAGTGGGGTCAGCTGTTCCTCAGACATTTCCACTGATTGTTTTCAAGCGTTGGCAGCACGAAACCAGCAGGATTGGTGCTTTACCAAGTCACATGGCCATGGAGGTTCTACTGGATTTATCTGCAGAGCCACAGTTTATCACTTCACAAAGCCAGCTTCCTTGAAAGCCTCTTCCAGTTTTAAACACAGCCCCTTCCCACTGTCCCCAGGAAAATTTAAGCTACTTTATTCTTTTACAACCTTTTGAGGATGCTCTATGAGACTCTTCCCCCCCAAAGATGATACGGACAAGCCTTATATGGACTAAATCTTAAAGTAGCCAGCAAAACAAGATACACAGAAGGGGAGAGTTGGATCAGTTCGGGATATTCACTTACCTTAGTCATATCATGGGGATCAGGCACAACAAACATTCCAGGGGGTGGTTCCTTATAAATGGACATGATATCCCTGCACAAAGAAAACAGGAATTAGCCATTTTCTCCCTCAGGGTCCAGCCCAATCCAAGGAACAGAACAGAGTGAGACAGACACACACAGTGCAAAGGGGTGTATTTTAAGAAGTAAACCTGTTACTTTGAAAGCATTTTTTTTTTAAATTTTGTTGCTGCTTCATTGTTCTCTGGATAAGCTTATCCAGAAGAAGAGCTGTAGGAGGTAAGGAGTGCACACACTCTCAAAATATATAACAAAAGAGAGATGGAATCAGATATGACTCATTGCGAGTTGGGGACACACAGCGGCACTCCACCTCTAACAGAGGAAGAGCTCCTCCCAGTGTTGACCTGAGTTGCACACAGCCACAAAAGGATTTTCAAAAAGCCTTCCTGTTTGTAAAGAAAACTGAACTGAGCTGAAGTTTCAGCAGTATGACTAAGCAGATGAAACTTCTGAAGTGACAGGAGAACCTCATTTTCTTACAAAATATTATTAAGTTAGTGCTTTCATCCATTTAGACTGGAAACATAGTTTGTACCATCTTATGGTGAAGTTATAGGAGTTTTGTAACCGGCAGCAGAACAAGGATATGCAATCATTTGGCAAGCAGTGATATTTGTGATGAAGGAAGAGGAAGAATCTATTGACATAACGCCAGTATTTATAACAAAACAACATATTGTTTTAAAGTTCATCAGCATGCCAGACCTAATGTGAGCAATCCTTTTACAATACTGCAGTTAGACAAGGAACAGCTGAATTGATCAATTAGCACCACTCAGGCAAATGAAAGAATAGGGTGATGGGTGGGGCCAGTCATGAACGCCTTATAAAATTCAATCTAGGAACACAAAAAAGAAACCCATTCCCCTACTGATCTAACTCCGAATTTGCAGATGCACAGAGACATTGGGTTTCAGATCACTCATTGGCAGACAGCCGACACAATAGATTAAGTAGAGGCAGTTTTGGTCAGGTGAGGCATCATCTTGTATCGAATGCACAGGACAGAATCAGGAGATCAGAACGCTACTCTCGTCTCTGACACAGCTTCATTGTTAACCTCGGAGAAGTCACTTTGCCTCCCTTGTATGCACCTGTAAAAATGCAGTTGTGAGGCTGAATTCAATGTATGGGCTTTGAGATCCTTGCATGGAAGAGGCAAAATATATGCTCTGTTGAGTTGTATGATGTCATATTTTCCTAGCCACTGGTAGCAGCAAGAATGGTTTAACCAGGTGGGGACAGAGGGGGAATTTTCTGTTAATTCCCCCTTTAAAATGATAAATGAAATAGCCGGTGGCAGTTTTAGCAAGAAGCTGCTGACTTGTATGAATTGCCAAATTTCAGTGGTGGATAATTTATTCTGTCTACGACATTTCCCTGGAAGTTTCATGTGCCCATGGGATGCTTCATTGCCGGTGCTGTACAGCATTGCTGCACATGGAGAACAGCGATCACATTCCACCCGAGAAGCGGATCCGTAATCTTACATGTATACAGTCTGCAAATCACTTTGGGATCCTTCTGGCTGAAAAGTGCTTTATAAATACAAAGTGGCATTAGCGTGCTGGCTCTAGAGCAGCAGCTGTCAGCTGAGAGTAAACGGTGTCAACAAAGCCAGAGGGAATCTAAGGGATTTTGATGCACAGAATGTTCTCCTAACACTGGGGAAGCCTACTAAAACCTAGGGATCTGCAGATACCTCTGGGGACAAGACCAAAGGGGTGATGAGTGAGGTAGCTCCACACTCCACTGTGGAAAGCTATAAGTGCTGGAGCATGAAGAAATGCATCCGGTACCCTAGGATATACAGGTGTCTCAATAGGTGGCTTCAGGCCATAGAGTAGAACAACATGGACGAGTTCGTCCTGTTCCTAGCACAAATGCTGATGACATCCACGTGGTATAGGCTATCCAGGTCGTTAGGGCCCACTCCACATACACAGGCAGAGGGGACAGTGTGTGTTGGTAATGCAAAGACCAAAACCATAGGCTCAAAGAGTAAGAAGTTGGAAGAGATCACGAGGGGGTCAGGAAAGGATTTGTATTCATTTTAGAGGGAGGGGGAAGGCCCCAAGCACAGATAACCGGCTCTTTTCGAGGGGGGGGGGGAGAAATAGGGTGACCAGATGTCCCGATTTTATAGGGACAGTCCCGATTTTTGGGGTCTTTTTCTTATATAGGCTCCTATTACCCCCCCATCCCCTGTCCTGATTTTTCACACTTGCTGTCTGGTCACCCTAGGGGGAAATCCAGACCAGAACAACTAGTTATCACCAGGACAGGGCATTGACTCGGAGGGGATTTCGCCAAGGAAGCCCCTGGCTATCCCAGCAACGCGGGGCGGGGGAGGCCGGCAGGAAGAGAAATGACTGCGGCACGTGGGGAGGGGGGGGGTCATTGGATGCTGGGGGGTGCTGCACGCGGGGTGCTGGCTGGGCCCGGAGCGTGGAGCAGGGAAGACTCTGGGCCAACGGGGGATTCCCCACCGGGGGCCCCGGGGTTTGGGGGGCGCGATCCCGGGGCAGGCACCCGGGGAAGGCGGGGGGCTGTAGTTACAGACCCCCCAGGGCGGGCAGGCCCGTGCGGCTGGGGTCCCCGGCTCGATCCGCAGCCGGCAGGCCGAGGCCCGCTCCAGGGGAGGCGGAAGGGCCGGGGAACGGCGGCTCGCTCACCGTTTGATCCGCAGCAGGCAGGCCGGGCTCGGCCTCTCGCTGTCCCAGTCGCCGCTCACCGTGGGGTCCCAGAAGGCGGAGTGAGTGAGCAGCGC